CCTACACGTGCTGACTGATAGATGAATGGATAGTCTCCAGCCTCGACTATAAGCTCATCCGTTCTTAGCACGTCTCCTCCTTCGAAATAAGTATCACTGAGGATATTCAAGGCAGAATCTAAAACCTTCAAGTTATCTCCCCCAGCATTTATGAACATCAAGATATCATCTGTTAACAAGAATTACAAAAGCAGATCTATTAACATAATGAATCTGCCTTTCGAAATCGGCATAAGCTAAAACCCAGTTTGTAGGTTAAGTGAAAATAACATCATATACACCACGACGGCTTCGTACATGGGAGTATATCATACACTCTTTCCCTGTCGAGGACCAAAGATCTTCGGTTCCAATCGAAATTCAGTCAACTTAACTAAAGCTATAGCCTTTTAATCATATATCGAGAGATCCAAGCAGGACAAAAAGCTCAAGCCTGTAAAAGCTACCCCGAGAGAATTGCCCAAAAGAATCAGTCAACTAAAGCTCTAGCCTTTTAAACCCTAATCCCATGGCTTTTAAACAGAGAATTGCCCAAAAGATTCATAATCTAGGTTCCGAGAAAATAGCGCACGAATTTCCTTAGGGAAATGGAAACTCAGCTGAAAATCCAAAGGGAAAAAGAATCAAATTTCTAGAATGAAGGAGAGAACGAGGAACCCACCTGTGCAATTGGGTTTTGTAAAACCGGTCGGTACAAATCTCGAATTTGGATCACAGAGCATCGAATCGGACAAAGAATCTCCAGAATCATGCATAATAGAGTCACTAGTCTCTTCGTTCTCCGCCGCACCGTGTCCGGACTGTGAAACCCTAATCCCCGTCGAACCGGGTGACTGGAATTTCGTCTCATCGGGAAGGGTAGCGTTGGATTCAACGTCTTCCATGGAAACGTAGACTGATTTACGACTTGGAAGCCCAGAGAATCCGAAACCAGAAGGTGATCAAAGTTTTTATCTTTCTTATGTGTTCTACACTGAAAGATCAAGAAAATGGAGAGAGAGAGCGGAAGGCTTTAAATTATTTTCCTTTTTCTTTTCCTTTGTAGGTTTTGGTATTTTAAATTTTGAATTTCCAAAGGCGACCGTTGGGAATATGTGACTTTTGAACGGTAAATGATAAATGGGCCATATCCTCTCACATTTTCTTGGGCCTTTTGTAATAAATTGCTCATTCAAACCAAACTGTTGATTATTTTATGGGCCTTAGATGAGTCCATTAAACTTGAATGCACAGACCTCTATGATCTATACTTTTTGGGCCTAGGATCAATATTTAATTATTTATTAATTAATTTATAAAATTACAGATTTTTTAATAATGAAATTGGACGTTTTTTTCTCAAGTTGTGTGTGTTTTGTTTTGGATAATTTTTTTTTTTTTTTAAATTAGAATTGTATTTCATTTCTATATAGGTTGTAAGTATTAAATGGATTATTTAAAAAAATTAACATATTTTTTCCACTTCTCTGTGCCAAAATCACATGAAATTTAATCAAAACAGGGTGTGAGCTTTGACAACGACAACCAGTGTGAGTGGGGATTACGCAGCCACCACAATAGCCAGATCCGGCCGATGGCCACCGCGAAACCGCCGCAGTTTTCATTCTCCGGCGGGGCACCGCCGCTATGCTCACTCAAAGGATCCATCGTATCCATCGCTGTCATAACCTTCTTCTCCCTCTTTTATCTCTCTCTCAATTCCCTACGAACTTCGCCGCCTTCTCCGGTTTTGGTCGAACATATTCGTCCTACTCAGACCATTGTGGAGGATGATAGCAACGATCAGAGCAATGGAGGAGTTGAGTCGGATATATTTTCCGATGTCTACCACTCGCCGGAGGTTTTCCGGTTGAATTACGAGGAAATGGAGAGGAGATTCAAGGTTTACATCTATCCCGACGGCGATCCCAACACCTTCTATCAGACGCCAAGGAAGCTCACCGGAAAATACGCAAGCGAGGGCTATTTCTTCCAGAATATCAGGGAGAGCCGGTTTCGGACCCTAGATCCGGAGGAAGCGGATCTCTTCTTTATCCCGATCTCTTGTCACAAGATGCGCGGCAAGGTAACACTTCGTTTGCATGCTCTTGAAGTTATGTTTCATACCCTTTAGAGGCTGGGAAAATTTGATCACAGTATGTTTTGGTTGTCGGAATTGTAGATTGTTAGTGAAATTGAAATTGGTACAGGAACCTTTGTTGATTTGAATCATTTTTAGGTTTGCGAAAATTGTAATCAATTGTATACTGTAAGCAAAATCTCCCTGACAGCTCTGCAACAACGAGTTGTCTGTGTTTAAGAATTACAATCTTCCGGCAGTATAGATGACAGGTGATCTTGTGAACATCTGCAGGGAACATCATACGAAAACATGACTGTGATTGTCCACGATTATGTGGATAGCTTGATAGCTAAGTACCCTTATTGGAATAGAACATTAGGAGCAGATCACTTCTTTGTCACCTGTCATGATGTCGGCGTTAGGGCAACTGAGGGAGTCGAGCTTCTTGTGAAAAATGCTATTAGGGTGGTATGCTCGCCTAGTTACAATGTCCCTTTCATTCCTCACAAAGATGTTGCATTGCCGCAAGTGCTTCAGCCTTTTGCTCTTCCTGCCGGTGGAAATGATATAGAAAACCGGCAAGTAGTTCTTATCCATACTCTTTCTGGTTTACTTTCTCGCATTTAGTTCGTATAGGAAAAAGGGGTGTTGACGTGCCCAACTAAATTGCTCGGAAATAAGTGATGTTGTCCTTTGGCTTGCTGGCTGGTGATTGAGTTGTTCATGACTTAGCTGTTAAGTTCCACTTCCACTGAAATATTTAGTGTTTTACGTTGTGATTAGTGATGGATTTTTCAAGTGTTGCTTCAATAAGTCTTTTTACAGCTCTTGTTTCCTTTGAATGCCCATTATATATCAAAGAGCAGCATCATGGTATGGTTTCTAATCATGATTGCTGAATCTATAGCCGAGGAAAAGTTGTTTTCTTGATGTTAGAAATAGTCTAATTACAAAGTTTGGTTGTACAGGACCACCCTTGGTTTCTGGGCAGGTCACCGTAACTCCAAGATTAGAGTCATACTTGCGCGCGTGTGGGAGAACGACACAGAACTTGATATTTCAAACAACAGAATAAACAGGGCTACCGGACATCTGGTGTATCAGAAGAGATTCTACAGGACCAAATTTTGCATATGCCCTGGTGGCTCCCAGGTCAACAGTGCTCGGATAACGGACTCAATCCATTACGGATGTATTCCCGGTATGTATTGTATCCCTCACTTCTACTCTCTTTCCTATCTCATGATTAGACGAGCTCAGACCCAACCCTTTTTCTGCGTCTGTTTTTTATTGACAGTAATACTGTCAGACTATTACGACCTTCCCTTCAATGACATTCTTGAATGGAGAAAATTCGCGGTCGTACTCCGAGAACGGGATGTCTACAACCTCAAGCAGATTCTCAAAGACATAACTCATTCTGAGTTTGTTTCACTCCACAACAACTTAGTCAAGGTAAACAGTTCCTTCTTAAACCCTTGCAATCACATATAGGGGCTGGCATTCCGATTTTCGGATTAGAAAAATTATATTCATCTGGTTGTTATATCGGTTTGAATTCGGTTTTGATTGATAAAAATGCTTAGTTTTTCGGTTTTATATCGGGTTCGGTCGGGAAATGTCATTGGATTCAGATGGGTTCCCTTTTGCATTATCGAATCGAAATGTCTCCCTGTCCCCTGATGACATAGCTCTGGAATGAACATGTATAATATGAGAATATGTGAAAATGCAGGTTCAGAAGCATTTCCAGTGGAATTCGCCTCCTGTTAAATACGACGCCTTTCACATGGTCATGTACGAGCTCTGGCTACGCCACCATGTAATCAAATACTGACGATTTTCCCACATATACAAAGAGCTAATATGTATGTGTGTACTACCTTTTGTAAGTTCCAATCATAATTGCAATTTGTTTTTTGGAAAATCTTGAAATGCAGTAAGAAAATCTTTGTTGTTCATACGACGCCATTCGCGTAAGTGGATAAAAAATAATTGAAAAAACTTGGAGGTGCGGGGAATCGAACCCCGTGCCTCTCGCATGCGAAGCGAGCGCTCTACCATATGAGCTACACCCCCGTTTTTGGTTTAATTAATATAAAAATGTATTGGAAATTAAATCAATTCTCGAACGTTGTCTTTTATAATGAAATTAAAAATACATATCTTGGAAATAAAAATTATAAAAAAAAATATATAGGCATTCCTCATGCTTCACCTGTCGCAAGCTATGAACAACCGATCTATAATACCAGAAAGCAAAACATAACATAGAATTTAAAAGAAAAAACTATTGTTCAATCCCATAAACAAACCAAAAAAAGGAGGGAAGAGACGAAGGGTTCATCATCTCCTGAGGAAATACAGAAAAAAGAAAAAAAAAAACAAATAATAGAAGAAATCTGATATTAAGTTACAGTATATGAACCAATTCCACTGAATGATATTGTGTATGTAGTATATATATTACCTACGAAGAAGCCTTGATCTTCCTGTACAGAGAGGGATGCATGCACGAGAATATCGACGGCTTTCCCCTCTTCTGTTTGGAACCGAAGATGAAAGACCTCAAGGGAACTCTCGATCGGCTGTCCGAATGCTGGAGCTGAGATCTGTTCTTCGAACCAGACAGAGCAAACTCCTCTCCCAGTTTCGCTATCGTCTTCTCCAGCTCGAGCTGAAGCGTCGTAATGTGATCTAACCCAGCTTGTAACTCGTCTGCAACTTTGTTGTTCTCCTGCTTCATGTTCAAGACCTCGCCTTGAAACTTCGCAGCTTGGTAGCTCGTGAACCTGAAGTCATCGTCTTCGGCACTTGCCTTCAGTGCTTTCGTTATCTCGTCCTGAATGTTGCACAATGACTCGAACCTCGATTTCAGTTCGTCCTTCAAGGCCGCGCCTTTCTCCAGCCAGAGTGTCAGGTCTGTGTTTATCTCCCTCAGGTGTACGTATATTGGACGGACGTCTGATCTCATTGCGTACTTGGCCGTGCTGCTTCCGTCTTGCTTCCTCCTCTGCTCGAGCTTCGCTACCTCGGCTTGCAGGTCTTCTATCGAATTGTCGAAGCCCTGTATCTGTCCAAATGCCGCGCTGAATCTTAACCAGAAATCAAGATTCTCCTCTAGAAGTTCGTCGATGTTCATCCTGAACTGTTCTTCGACCGGGGACATGTTTGCGTTCTGTTCCGAAACCATGAACCCGAAGGAACTCATGTCGCTCTGGTGAGTGTCTGAAGCTCTGAAATCCATTGAGCCGTTGGTTTCTCCGAGACCCTTTTGCAGGAGATTCAGTTTCTCCCTTAGCAGTCGGATCTCGTCGTCCTTTGATGCATTTTCATTCTTCAGTTTCGATTCAGTTTCGGACGATTTCTTCTTCATATCCTTGAAGCTTCGAAGAACTGTGGTGTATTCTGTCAGCAAGTGCTTTTCTCTGTTTTCCATCCCCTCCATGAACAACTGTTTCCAATCTGGTTCAGCCTCTTTCTCCGAAGCCATGTTAACTTCTTCAGGCAAACTCTGCATTGCTACGACATTGCCTGAATCCGAGTCTGTCGTCTCAGACAAAGCCTGCTTCTCTGAACTACTGCTTGGACATGACTGGCTTATGTCTTCTACCTCAACTTTAGAGGAAGTCATCTCGTCTTTACTCTTCTCAGGTTTTTCCTCCTGTTCTTCATCTTTCTGTTCATGTGTAATTACAGTTACTTCTTTCTCTGAATCGGCACTCACTGCTGAATCTTCAGTTCCTTCATCTGGCTTCACCACCTGCAATTTCCCGGAGAGGTCGCCGAGATTATCGCAGGCTTCGTCAAAATGTGTTTTCAGATTACCAGTCTGGTCCAAGACATTTCTGTCCAAATTCTGCAACACTTTCAGTTTCTCCTCCATCTCCTTCAGCTTGTTTCTCAGCTCGTTCTTGTCGTCTGACAACATCGCCTTATCGTCTTCGAGTGTCTGAATCTGACCCTGAAGGTCATTTGTCTCGGTCCTTAATCTCTGTATCAAAGCAGTTTGTGAAGACACCGCACCTTCCAGGCTAATCACCTTGTTCACGAGCTCGTCGATCTTCTCAGCCATTTCTGTCACAGTGAGAGATGAATTCTCGCCAACTTCGAGATGTTCATGAATCTTCTCCCTTATGGAATCCAACTCCTTTTTCTTCTGCATGATCTCCTCCATCTCCCTTTCCAGCTCTTCCTCATTGTTATCAGAATCGATATCTTCCTTTCCGAATAAACTTTTCTCCCCGAGCAACTCACCCGCCATTGATTTCAGCCTCTCCTTCGACTCCCTGATCCTTCTGTGCTCTTCTTTAGCCTCAACAAGCGACCTCTCCTGCTTCTCTTGCAACTCGATCAGCTTCTCCTGGCACGACTTTATCGCCGCCTCAGCCATCAGCTTCCTCGCCTCATCGTCCTCGATAGCTATACTCTCCCCAAACTCATCCTGCAGATGGCAGATCCTCTCTTGTTTCTCGGCTATACTCTTCTCGATCTCCCAGTACTTAGCCAGACCTCGCTCGTACGAGCTCTTCACAAACTCCTTCTCGGTCTGTAACGTCAAGATCTCTTTCTGCAGTTTATCAATCTCCCCCATCGCCTCGGGTTTGCTCAAACCCGAGCTCTTAGCAACAACAGTTGCAGAACTCGGATACTTCATGGATTTTCTTGGCTGAAGCTTCTTAGTCGCTGCATTGACCGCCCCCTTGAAATCTTTCACGGGAAATTTAGGAACGTTCGGGACGTTGAAAGCGGAAGGGGTCTTCTTGATGAATCTTTTCATGGATTCACCGTCGTCGTCGTCATCCATGGCGAACTGAGGGACTTGGTCGGGAAAGACAGAAGCAATGGTGGTATTGGCGTTCTGAAGCTCGGTAGAAATGTGATCATACCTCTCGGCCAAGGCCCTGTAAGCTCTGTATGATTCTTCCACGAAGGTTATGAGCTCTGGCCTCTTCTTGTAATACATCTCCGCACGTTTTGCAAAGGAGTCGCCATCTTCTTCAAGGAGCTTCAGCACATATTGCACCTTCTCTTCTATATCTGCAATATGACACAGAATGTGTAAATGCACAGATAGCCAAGAAGATACCAGAAGCCATTCTTCATTCAGACAAAAAAGATAGCCGAAACAGGGGAACCAAGAAATGGGTTTCAGATAAAGATTAAGACCAAGATTCTGAGGCAGACAGAGCAAGATTCCGTGAAACATAAATTGCAGAGATTTCACTCCTACTTTTTTTGTCATTTTGTGATCTTGACTTTGAACAAAAACGATGGATCAAAAGGCGGTAATAACTAATAAGCAATGTCAGTGAGGATTTGAACAATCGGACAAGAAAGAAGAGACCGTGAAGGTTCTGGTCGAGCCATTTAGACTGCTTGGTTCTGATATGACTCGCCCACCACCACGAATACGCATTGCTCGCTGCCCTTTGCAGCATCATCTTCCTTCTCTCTCTAACAAAAAAAACTCAATCCCCAGAGGATCGAAATGGGAGAACGCTCCTCAGTTTTTATGAAAAAGGGACTCTTTTCCTTATTCAAATTACCAGAAAACAGGAACAGGAACCATCTGGTGTTTATAAGAAACCCTTCTGTTCTCTCGATCTAAAAGATGAACAAGAAAAAGAAATAAACTTTTGGCACACCCACAAGAGAGAGAGAGAGAGAGAGAGAGAGATTTCTTTTCTCTGTCTCTACTTTCGGTAGAGGAAAGATCGTGCAGCTAACGAATGAATCTTCTTTGTTCGTTGGTTTTCCTTTTTCCTTTTTAGCTTTTTTTTTTCCTTGGTCGGGACCTAAATCAGATGAGCTGTTTCATCAGAGATCATGGGTGGGAGCAAACTTCGCTTCTCTCTCCCTCTCTCTCTCTTTCTTCCCTCCAAATATATATGGCTGAATTCTTCAATCCCCATTCACATTCTAATTGTTTATCTTTGAGAATATTTAATGTAATTAATGTTTTTAGCAAGAGAATTAGGACAGCCAGGTGCCATCAATGTTATAATGCTGCAGTCGTGGTGGGAGCGGTCGAAAGCATTTGTTGATTAATTAGATGTATATGTCAATACCCTAAAAAAAAATCAAAAGCTGGTTTCAGAAAGAATCCTTTGCAAATAAATATAATGGGGAAGGAATGTGTACTGTTTCTTTTTTATTTATTTAATTTATTTTTCTGACCGACTTTTCTTGATTAAAGGAGGAACAAAGTTGTTTAAGCAAAGCTAATGACAGTTTGATGCCGACATTTTTTTAATTATTTGAACATTAAATCCATTGCTTATGTCACATAATTAACGTTGATTGTTATCTACGGAACCATTTTTCTCCTGTTGTTGGAAACGTCCAAGGCGTCGGTCGCTATTTCCGGTTCCACGTCTCCTCAATGGTCTCCTGTGTACATTATTATCTTAGCTTTTTGTTTATGGAAAAAAAAGAGTAGCGGTGGGCCTAAACTGATTAGAAGCCTCTGATGGATTCAGAAGGGTCTCTCCCCTGCGTTCAGACAGGAGCAGTTTCCTCGATCACTGTAATGTTAACACGAGTACAATAGAGTTACTTGTGAACATAGATCAGTGGCAGTTAACTAAGGGGGGACAGTTACGTACAGGACGAGATGCAATACGTCGCATATTCACAGCACCAGTGATAACTTACAATGGTAAAACGTAGAAACAATCTCTCCATCAAATCTCCTTCACACCCACCATGTGATCTCCAATAAATCCATCATCATCATCATCATCTTATATGAACCCTTTTTTTTTTTTCTGTTTTCTGGGTCAAATATCACTAAATGTTGCTTTCAAATCATATTAGAGGACACTGCTACAAGCAATGTTTTTTTTTTACAAACGCAAACGACCGTGGCCAAGTTCCAACAGCGTTTAAAGATTATGAAGAGCCGAGAGCCACTGCTCCATGTAGTTATGTCCATCTGCGCATTTGATGAGAGATGCCAAAGATCAGAAAGGTTGCCCTTTGGACAAGCATACTATATCGAAATCATCGCCATGGATGGAACCATAAGCTGCTCTGTATTGAACACACTTGACCACTACCATGAGAAAAAACTATCTATGCTGGTTTATGGCTCTCGTCCATGTGCATTGCTAAAACTACACTATATCAACGTTCGGTATCCTAAACAAGCATTACCAGAAACCTCAATCATATAGTAACTCATCAAATCAAGAGATTAGCTTACCGGGAGAGATTCCGGTGGGAAAATTCTTGACAGCACTCAGGAGCTGGTTGCTAGAACCTTCTTCCACTACAGCCCTGTAACATGGAACCAGCACTAGAAATCCACTGTCCCCTTCATCGTTGCTCTCAAAATCAGGTCCATGTGGCTCTGTCCACCCAACGGACCACTCAGGTCCATCTGTTTCTGAACCATACCAACACTTCCCGCCGTCAGACAGCGACACCGTCTCATGGTCCACTTCCTTTCTCATCCCACCTTTCCCGATCCATCTTCTCTTGACTTTTCCCTTGCATGAAGATATCTTTGAAGGGAACTTCAGAGCATCTGTCCCATTTGAGACTGGTTCTCTCTCTTTCCGACCAACTAATAACCACCATGGCCAGCTTGGGATTGGTACCGACACTCCCTTCATTCTCCAGAGATGAACACAGAAACTCACAGACTTCGTATGAATCGGCCAAATATGGAATCAGAGAAGATAATCTGATGAAACAGATGCTGCCTGTTATAGGAACCAATGTACTGGCAAATTATCAGGTCGGTTGACGCGGATTTCAATTGCACAAACGAACCAATAAAAAAGAAGAAACCAATGGACGAAGGAAACAATCGTCAAAGAATTTAAAATCGCAGTTCAAATTCATCAAGAACACTCGCAGGTAACCAACGACATCCAAAATCACAAGCGAGTAAAAAAGGTTCACTTTCACTTCAGCAGATCATATATCGAACGTCGGATAAAACATAACGCCGAGAATTTGAAAAGAATGGCTCAATTGACCATGACAATAAGAAACAAATCTCTCGTTTGAATGCCCAGAGAAAGTTGCAACATTCCCACGAAAATTTGTCCCTGTTCCTCGGAAGAAAACGATGGAAATTGGGAAAACAAGAGCACGCCAAGTCACGACCTCGACAAGAGACTGGAAATCCCCAACTCACGCGGCCAAATGGTCCATTGAATACTGGCAAGACAGGGAACGTTCCACCAGAACAAATCGGTAAAGACGAAGAACCCTAGAATTTCAGCGAGATTTCACGGCCACATCAACCGATGTGCGAACCAAAGAGTCGACCAGATCCAAAGCCAGAAACGGTGATTATAGAAATAGAATCGGATCGATACGAATAAGAAACCCTAGATTTCCGAATTATCTATCGTTCTCCTCCATCGCCTCTCTATACCCGACCTTCTCTCTGCTCATCAGAGCTCGTCGTTCGTCTGCAACTTTATAATTCGGTTTCTCCGAGACTTTGGTGTCATGTGAACCAACGGCCACGATCGTCCATTTGTTTAATCAGACGGTGCTCCATCAATCAAAAAACAGCGATTGCTGTGATTATAGATATTGAAGAATATAAAGTTATTGTTATTTTGTTACTATTTATTTAATTTAAATCGAAGCGACACTTCCTGGCTACCGTTGATTTGTGGACAAGTGGCTATCATGACCGTAAAATTTGATGACATGGCATATCGAGTAAGCTTTTTTGTGCGCCGCTCAGGTTTCTGACACGTGTCAATCCAGTAAGCTTTTTTCGTCGACACATAAATTACTCATTTTATTTTAAATTAATTTCAGAGAAAAACCTGCCTATGTTATTCCATAATGTGGATATGTACCCATACATTATCAAATGGTAATTTAAGTGTCCTTGCCTTTTGTCTTTGTAATTATTATTAAGCAATCAAATCAAATAAAGTCAATTTTCTCGGCATTAAACAAAGATAATTTGCATAGTGGTTGGCGAATCTAGAGATCAATCCCAATTTATCCGCCTTATTATATGAATATATACATATATATAACACTTTTAGGTTAATATATATAATTAAATTTAATCATATGGTATAGGCTTTCTTTTTGAACGGATATAGGGTTTTAGGCAAAGACAAGATGCATAAATCATTTTGGAACAATACAACACATTTTTTTTTTTAAAAAAAAAGCATTTTTGCCTAGAGGATTTTACGCTAAATTGTTCATTAGGGATAAGCTTCGTCTAGGTAATCGACACGTGTATGTGTGTGTGTATAGATTTCAATTAACAATAACGTGAAGTTGTTGTGATGTCTTGTTGACCGATCCCTCTCAATCAATATATATATATAATATTTTACTAAATATATGCTTCATCCATGATTCGTATCGTAAATAATTTTTGCAATCATAACTAATATGCCCCATAAGGTGGAAGTGATGTGGCATACACATCCATTTAACATACTTGATAAGGTTTAATTGAACCAAAAGTACAATGTATTTTTCAATTTTAAAAAAAATATCGACGATAATAACGAAATGCTATATTTATATATGAAACAAATTCTATCCCTACGTAAAATAGTTTTAGTAATATATGCATATATATACATATTAAAGTTGAATTGTTTGTTTTTCATACGAAACTCTCAGACGACAAGTCAGAATATATCCGAACATATTGAAATACAGAAAGTGGTTTTTATGAAATGTACCAAAGGAGTTTTTAAATATAATAGGAAATTTTGAACTAAATAATGAACATAATAATGTATAAATTTCACGGAAACGGATACAGAAAATCTATACGTATAAATAAAATCCATCAAATACATACCATTAATATTCCAAAAGATATATGAACTGGTTAAACACTTTTTTTCCTTAAAAAAAAAGGAAAAGGGTGAGGAAAAAAAACTGTTGATTGAGATGGGCCGACTCATGCTAGCCCAATATGATGCATCACACATGGGCTTATCGAAAACGGTTATCGACCGTTTTAAAAGGAGACAAAACAAACGGACCGTGAATCCGTCGAGTAACGCCGTTAGTATCACGATTTTAAATCCAGGATGCCCCTCTCCCCTCCAACGGCTCTATTTTGTTTTCAAAAAAGCCCTTTCCCTCTGTCGTGTTCAGTTAGTTTCCTTCTCCTCCAATATTCTCGCACTTTCTTCCCATCCGAACAAAACCTTCAGATCTATCGATTGTTTTCGGTGGCGAGTCTGTTATTGCCGAGAACAGGTACCGTGTTTTCAATTATCTTCGCTGTTTGGTTTATGCTGAAATGGAAAATCAATTTTTCTCGGCATTTGATGGATCTTATTCTGCTGGAAATCAAGATAATAATTTAGATCGATCGACATTGTGATTTTACGTAGACAGTTTCTGGGAATGATCTCTCCGTAATTCAAGCTAATTACTGGTTTCGATTCTTCTTTGTTTGTGTTTCTGCTTGGCAATGGCGATTTGCACTACTCTCCCTCCTAGGGTTTCGCGTTTCCTTTATTTTTGTTTATACATATTTTTCTGCAGTGGTTTTGCGTTGAATTTTATATATTGCCTTTAGGGGGTGTGATTCTATTGCTCATGATGGATGAATTTCTGAAATATGGTAGGACCTGAACTGAAGCTGTATCACGTTTCTGTGTTGAAGATCCACTCCTTAGGCACTTTGATACCACCGCTTCACTTAAGCAGGTGATTTACATACTGTCTCTGTTGGTTTAGCTTTCATCTTTTGGTAATGCAAGATTTCTTCGGCAAGATATGTGCTTTGAAGCAGACTGATGAGAATAAAGAAATTAACAAGATGAGAAGAATTGGGTTGCAGATCAAAGCAGAGCTTTATTCGATGCTGCAACTCTTGCCAGAAAGAAGAAGAGGTTTAGGGTTCTTAGGGGGGGAGAATTCTGTAAAAAATATTCCCTTCATTCCCCTTAATTATCATGTACAACCTACTTTAGCATATGTACATGTTCGACATACATATAGAAAAGGAAGTGAATCATGTACAAAAGGAAACATATATATATGTTAACGGTGCATTGCAGAATTTCCATTTGTGTTGCATTCTGGGTTAGTCACGTCTTAGCAGCCTTGATTATGTCCGAGTCTGATTCTTGTCCGATTGTCCTTGTGTCCGTTTCATGCTCGTCAACAGAGATGTTATGGAGACTAGAACTTTGTCTATGGTGTCTGAGCAGCTATGCTTCTTGTTTGTTATCTATCCTCTAGGTTCAGGACAGTGTTTGGTCTGTTTTCTCTCGCCGTTTAAGATGTACTCAAATGCGAATCCGGTTTTATGCAGATATCTCTGGAAGTATTTTGCTGGAGAAGTTTAAATGGAGAGAGTATACGAAGAGCTGGATGAAGTCAAATTTGAAAATGAGAAGCTCAAGGCCGATATCAAAAACAAGGCTGAGCTTCTTGAGAATCTAAAGAGAGTCCAAAATGAACAGCTCATCAAAATACAAGAGGCCAATTCAACAACTGAGAAGCAGAATCATGAACTCGAGGAGAAAAAGATGGAACTTTCTGAGTTGAAGCGAGCAAATGAGGATCTGAAACGTTCTTTGATGGAAAAAGAGTCTATTCTTAAGCGTGTGAGTGATGCTAATGATAAACTCAGAACTGAGGGGGAAGATAGGTATCGGAAATCTGAAGAGGAGAACAGAAAGCTGATGTTGACTTTGGATGAAGCGAATGAGAAGAACATCGATCTAGAACAGAAAATCAATGTCTACAGGGCTGAGATTGAAGGGCTCAAGGGGCATCTAGCAGCATCAGAGAAGAAATTGATGGAAGCAGAGAAAAATGCAAAGGCTCCAAAAGAGCTTAGAGAAAGAGATGATATATTGATGAAATTAGAAGAGGAGAAGAGTCGAGTGGAAGAGACTCTAAAATGGAAGAGAGAGCAGTTCAAACATCTTGAGGAAGCTCATAAAAACCTCCAGGATCAGTTCAACACCAGCAGCAAAGAGTGGGAAAGAGAAAGAACCGCGCTTCTGGATGAGATCTCTTCTCTTGAGACAAAACTAGATTCACAGACTAGAATCTTAGAGGATCTTCAGAAGAAATTGCAGATGTGCAACAACGCATTGACCCAAGAAGAGACCCGAAGAAAACGTCTTGAAATGCAAGTTTCAGAGTTTAAATCTCGATATGAAGATGCTTTTGCCGAGTGCCAGGATGCCAGGTCACAACTTGACGATTTGGCTGCCAAAAGAGACGAGGAAGTGGCAGCTCTGAGGCATTCTTTGAGCACAAAGGAGGCTTATTATAAAGAAACGAACTATCAGAATGACAAGTTAGAAAAAGAAAACAGAGAGTTGTTGGTTTCTTTGAAGGAACTCCAGGAAGCTAGCATTCAGGGATCTGGAAGTTCTTCACTTTCAAAACTGAAAAACAAGCTCCGGAGTTTAGAACAGATACACAAGCAATGTTCGGCTAATTTAAGAGGTAAAGAAGCTGAATGGAGCTCTCAACTAGAGAAGATGACTTGTGAGATAAATGTCTATCAGTTACAGTTGCAAAGCAAGGAAGCTGCCTTGAAAGAGGTCGAGTTGGAACTGGAATACTGTCATTCTTCCCTAGTTGAAATGAAGTTACAGTATGAAGAGATTTCAGTTATGTTTTTAGTGCTAACTGAGACCATCTATGAGGCTGGGTCAAGGCTTCCAGATTTCAAGGGAGAAAAGACTATTGATGAGGAAAGAGAAGAGAAGAGGTCATTGATACTGATGAAGCAGCTAGAACAGAAAGATGTCGTGCTGGCTAAAGCGCGAAGAGAGATTGAAGAAGAGCGTGAAAAGGCCGCGAGCTTGCTGATAAAGATAGAGTTTCTCAATCTCGTTGAAGATCAGAATCTTCAAATGCAAAAAGAAGTAGCGAGGTGCAAGGAAATGCTTGAGGAATCATCAACAAACCAGACCCGGATGAAAGAAAAACTCAGGGAAATTGAAAATGACTATGATGAGAAACTAGGACAAGTTTGTGATGCATTGGATAATGCAAACTCGGAGCTACTTGAAGAACGAGAGAAGGTGGTGGAACTGACTAGGCAGGTCCAGTCTTTCAACGTTGTCAAAGAGAAGCAGTTGTCATCCGAGAAAGAAATTGAGAAGTATAAGGAGATGCTACAGGATTCAGATAAAAATCAGGTTCTTTTAGAGGAGCGGATTTTGCAGCTTGAATGTGATTCAAAGGAGAAAATCAAAGAACTCTGTGGAAAGCTGAACTCTGCAAATGCTAAGCTGGCAGAAGAGTCAGAGAAGACTGCCTCCATGATGAGAGATATAGGGTCAATGCATGAATGTGAAGAGCAAAGGCAGAGGGAGCTAGAGAATTTAAAGGAAATGCTCGAGGACTCGACCAAGTGTCAACTTCTATTGAAAGAGAGTATAGGACAGGCGGAAAGCAACTCCGAAAGGAAACTTGCCGAAGTTTTCAAGGCCTTAGAAGTGGCGAATTTCGAATTGACTGAGAAAATCTCTGAAGCACACGAGCTTGAATTTGAATTATGGGTCTGGAAGTCTATTGCTGAAAGACTGAAAGCTGATCTTGAACAAAACCAGAACTTGCGCAAAAGATTGGAGGCCTCTCTTCTTGAGCAAGTCAAAGTTGGAGAAGCCATTAAGCAAGAAAGGAACGAGCTTGCTGATGAACTAAAGGCCGTCAGTTCTGCGAGATCAAAGACAGACGCTTCTTCTAAGTCGGAGAAAGAAACCCTTCTCCGGATCATGAGAGAGAAAAATGAGATCGAGGAAGCCCTCCAAAGAGAAGTGGAGAGTTTGGAACAAGAATCACTCAGAAGGGAACTTGAAGGTGCTGTCTTTGTGCATATAACAGCAGAGGGAAAACTGGAGAATGAGAGAAAGATTCTCACTGGCCTTGTGGAAAAGAAAGACCAGAAACTACATGAAGTGGAGCAGGAATCGAAGCTGATTTCTTCACTGCTGGAACAGAAGAAAGCCGAAGCTGATTCCGTTAACAGGGCATGGGAGAAGATGGCAGAATCGAAGATCATAGCTGAAGTGGAGATCGAAGAGAAAAACATGTTGATCACGGGACTGGAAGAAGAAATCTCAAACACAAGAAAGATACTCGAAATGTCGGAGAAATTCGTCTCGTGTTTCAGACAAAAAGCATCAGAGTTGGAAGCTGAACTGGAAATGAAGCAGGATGAGTTGAAAGAAGCGAACAAACAAACGGGAGAAAAGCTAAGAACTTCAGATGAAATGGTAGAGAAGCTCAGAGTCGAGAAGACAAACTTACAAGAGGAAGTCTCGAAGCTATGGAGTTTGGTCGGTGAATTCGACTGTGAAATGTGGAAGCTGTCCAGTGAGGACAAGAAGATGATGAGAGCCCTCGAGAGCATAACCCATCGATCTTCTGGAACATGTGATGGAAAGGAGAATTCAGTCTCCGCCGCCATTGTTGCTTCTCCAAGACCAGCAGCGACAAAGCAGGAGACCGCCATTGAAGAGAGATCGCCATTTAGATTACTCAACTAGCAATAACTGAAAACAACCCTTTTGTGTTACTTTTTCCACAGACATTGATGATTTGTTGATGTTGTTCCAATCCCACCCGTTTGGAGTACGGTGACACAGAACGTGGAGAAAGTCAAATGTACGGAAGACTTGAAAAAGTCAAAGCCCCCATTTGACTCGTGTGTTTCCGAAGTGGTGGAACTTTGTAACACTCACATGTACAAAACGCGTGATTACAGTCCGAGAGTGTGTGTGCGCGCGCGCGCATAGCATGTGGGATTTTGATAATGAACAAATAATTATATGCTATACCGAATTATGTGAATTCTTTTTCACGTGTATAATGAAATACATTAATATGTTGTTCAAAGAAAAGGAATCATTATACATATATAATCCATATTCACCACTCTCTTGCTTAGAGCAAGTACCTCCTCGTGCTCTGAGCCCCCACATCTGCAGACACAAAGAGTCACAGTTCCGGATTCCGGCGGCCGTAAAATTATCCGGGGACACTTTCTGAGAAGCCGCAATTTCCTCGTTTTCGTGTTCGTTGTACCTAGAGCAATTCCTTGGTGACCAAGTATTGGTTACGTGGAGCAATTAATAACGATAATGATACCTTGTTCGATGTGGGATAATGTAATATTGACACGTAACAGAATTTATTTGAAATCAATTTAAGAATTGGACCTGTAGGGCCAGGTCAGGTGGTAAGGGAGCAGGGGAGCAGCACCCTGAGGTGGAGGGTTCGAATCCTTTTGTCGCTCTTCCTTCCCCTTGACCTGCTCGTCTGTCAGCCCATCATAATGGACTGATTTACCTCATACGCGTGTGTTGTAGGCTCGTGTGCATAGGCGCTTAAGCCCAACTACGGCCCGAGCATTAGGTGCGTCTGGTGGCCAGGTCCGGCAGACTGAAGTCCATAGGGATTGTTAGGCGCGGGTGGTGACCAGTTCGTCTCCGTTTGTAAGGGTAGGTAGTCACAGGGGTTCCCCATATTTACCAAAAAAAATTTTTTAAGAATTGGGGAATAGTTCTGATGAATTTTTAATTTAAGAGTTTATACGGTACATTTTATGGAATTTTCTCTTTTTATTTCGTTTTTTTTTTCAATTTTAAAAATTTACACTCATATAAGTCTCATAAATGCGCACAAGTTTGTCTTATCAGCCTTCAACCGGATGTCTGCAGTATAAATAGATACATTAACCCAACCCACTAAACCCAATCAAATCAAAGCATTCCAAAAACAAAACCCACACGAACCACATGACATCGCCGATTTCGTTTGCAGCCAATGTAAACGCGTCCGCCGATGAGGTGCTGAAACACCTCTGGTGAAGAAGCTGCTTCCGCCTGAAAAAGAATTTCGAGAGGTTGGAGAGAGCATCAAGGATTCTCGAAGGAATCGTGCTCGACGTGGTTGGAAAGATAGAGGAGGAGGAGAGGAAGACAGGGCTGGCACGGGTCATATTCTAGGTCGAGGAGGTGAATAAGATCTTAAAGGAAGCAGACACAGTTCTGCAGAAGAAGGAAGATGAGCTCCAAACATCATGCTTTTGTTCCTGTTTCACCGGTTCTTACTCCAGACAAGCTTTTGAACTGTGTCAAAAAATTGACACTATTCAATCCGCGTTGGAACAAATAACAAAGGTCAGGTTTTATTATATATTATATATATATATATGCATGCATGTGTCTATCTGAGGGAAATTAATGTGACTCGTTCGTTTCCTTTCTTTTTTGCAGGAAATATGATGCCCAATATTATTAAATATGATTGCAAATTTAATAAATAGATTGACTGAAATCAAATAAGATTCTAATTCAAATTCATTATTAGTTGTGACTGCAAATCTGTAAATAGAATTGATTGCAAACAAATAGGGTTGTGATTCAAGTACAGTATTCGTTGTGATTGCAAATCGTGTAAACGAAATGATTATATAATGCAAAATTATTATTTATCATCCGTTATCTTATTTTTTTTATCTTTATGATATTAAATTTATTAATAACTATAGATTTCAATTTTAAATTCCAAATTTTATTATACAAAATTAATTTTATAAAGACTTCCGCGCTCGCGATCGAATCGAATCGAAACATACCGTCGGGAAGGGAGAGAGAGATGGCCGAAGGGGAAACGCATTATATGTACAGATGTGTACAGATAATGTACAAATAATGTACGCATTAACTGTACAGATAATGTATACATCATCTGTACAGATAATGTACATAATGCGTATATTATTTATATACACAAAGAACCATTAACTATTGAAAACTATTGATATTTATTTTATCTTTTGTTTATATGGATATTAAATTAAAACGAATATAACATTTAAATCCATTTACGTGATAGAAAATTGATAATATGATTATTTAACTATGATGAATCTTAAAAATGACGATAGAATTTTTATTATAAATAAATTATATATCTCATTCATTTCAATAGTTTTTTAAAACGTGATTTACCATCACTTTGCAAGACACGAATCTCGAGACGTTAGAGAGAATCACAAGAGTTCTCAAATGAATCATTCTTGATCTGGTTGGGAATGGTATAAAAGGAGGGGAGAAGACAAGGTTGACCTATATCATAGTTTGGATCGAGGAAGCGGAGAAGCTGTTAAAGGAAGTAGATGAACTTTTGTAGAAAAAATAAGACCAAGTCCAAGGATTCTGCTTTTGTTTTTTTTTTTAGCTATACTTACTCAAGACAGGTGTTTGAGTTTTGCAAAAAATGATACCCTTCAATCCACCACCTTGGAACAAGTTCCGACTCGTGGAACCTTCTGGATTCCGACGGCCATAAAATTCTCCGGCGACACTTTCCGAGAAGCCGCAGTTTTTCTCGTTCGTTGTACCTGGGGCAATTGATATGGTTACTTCATTGGCGACCAAGTATTGGTGATGTCGGACAATTAATAGTGACAATGACATCGATTTCGACGTGGGGCAATCAATAGTGACACGCTGGACAATGACACTTTTTTTTACGTGGGGCAATGTAATACTGATACGTTGTAGAAATTAACATCCTTTTTTCTATATGGAAATTTATTTGAAATCAATTTAAGAATTGAGAAATAGTTCTCGTCAATTTTTAATTTGGGATTTTATATAGTACATTTTATAGAATTCTCTCTTTTTATTTCGCTTCAATTTTTTTTCAATTTAAAAAATTTACACTCATATAAGTTTCATAAATGTGACATAAGTTTGTTTTATCCAGACCCTATCCAGAATTTCCACAGTATAAATAGACATATTAACCTAACACATTAAACTCCATTAAAGCATTCTAAAAACAAAACTCACAACAGAACGAACCCATGAAATAGCCATTTTCGTTTTCAGTCAATATAAACGCGTCCGTCGATGAAGCGCTGAAACATCTCTGGAGAAGATGTTGTTTCCGCGTCAAAAAGAATGTCGACACCTTGGAGAGAACCTCACGAGGGCTCAGAGGAAGCATGGTCGACCTTTTCAAGAAGCTGCAGAATGAGGAGACGAAGACTGGCCATGGATGGCTGGGACGCTCACAGTGTGGATCGATGAAGCCGAGAAGCTCCTCAAGGAGGTAGATGAGCTTCTGCTGAAGGAAGCTCAAATTTACTTTTTAGTAAAGTTTTAGTTTTTTTTAAATGCTTTTTCTTCTCCAAACATCTTGCTCCAACACTTCTTACTCCCGAGAAGCGTTCAAACTCTACCTGAAGATCGAGAGACTTCAATCGACCACATTCGTTTTTTAGTTATTTGTATTAAGAGATATTGAAAAGACAATATCAACTAAAATATTATTTATATGTATTATGTGTACAGATAATGTACAAATAATATACACGTACAAATAATGTACATAATGCGTATATCGTCTATATACACAAAGGACCATTAACCATTGAAAACTATTTATATTTATTTTTTTTTAGTTTATATGGATATTAAATTAAAATGACTATAAATATTTAAATCTATTTATAGAAAATTGATAATATAATTATTTAACTATGATGAATCTTAAAATGACGTAGAATTTTATTATAAATAAATTATATATCTCATTCATTTCAATAGTTTTTTAAAACGGGATTTACCATCACTTTGGCAAGGTACACAAGGAGGGGAGTGATAGTATTCTACAGAATACTATAATAAATACATTATGCGGAATACTTTGATCTGGACCAATCATCATGCATACTACACAAAGAATTTGTAATACCCCGAAACCCGATTCGAATATTTAATTATTTTCGAGAATAAATAATTAAATAGAAACATCGCGTTATCATCAAAACGGGAATATACAATAACGGAAAAAAGGAACGAGAAAACACCACGTACGAAGAGACGGGAAAAAGACGGAGAAATGTCGAAAATTTGCCTAGACCGACCGGTCTAGGGTGTGGACCGAGGGTCGGACCGAATGGACTGAACATGCGAAGAAAAACCAGAAATCTGGTCCAGACCGTCCGGTCTAGAGCCAGACTGTCCGGTCTGGAGAACAACGAACGCAACTGGCCAACTTGCAACCTTCAGGCCGACTTTTCTCTCCACTCTGGGCCCCGTAACACGTCAAATCATCGCCCAACTCCGTCAGAATGTTGCAGGCTCGAAGGTGGGCCTGGGCTTGGGCCCAAACGGGTTTCCTCTCACTCCATAAACTGAGCAGAAGCTCAGCCTTGCATCATTTTCGGACAAAATCAGAGAAAAGAGAGGGAGAGGAGAAACAGAGAGAAAGGGGCGAAAACCAGGGAGAATCGACGCAAGGGAAGCTCGGGAACACGAAGAGGGACATCCCTAGAGTGTCTAGAAGAGTTTCCGGCAAGAAACAGGTCGGAAAACACCTCGAAAGCCGACCAAAACCAGATCTGAGCCAAAACAGAGGTGAGTGGCTCGAGTTCCATCTGTGTGAGCTCGTTCTGAGCATGCTATTGTGTTATTTCGATGATTTGTTGATTGGATTAGATAAAGGATGTTTCAACGAACATTTAGCAATAAACGGCACTAAATTTGGTTAAGAAACGAGTGAGATATGGTCGATTGAAGTTGGGCAAAAATCTGGAAATCGCGAA